ACTCAAATATTTAAAATAAATTTAATTGCGGTCTTCCTCTAACTTCATTTTCTACAACTGTCTTTATTCCTTTCTTTGAAGACCTTTAGTAAGTTTTTTTTTTGGTTTTACCTTGCAAGTCACTACCCTGCCAAATATTTACTTATGTTTACTAAGAAACCTTTGTCTGTAGTTCTTTCCCTTGAGGGAACTTCCTTGATGCCAGTGAGGGGTTCTTAATCCAAGAAATTGGATTTGTCCTACCCCTCTTTGGATTGAACCTGCTTGCATCTTCTCCCCCACATGCTGTATGATCCTTATGGGTTTAGAGCTTTCCCATATATGAAATAATGATAAATCCCTAGTTTTTGTGTTTGCTCCCACTCCCAGTTGCACTTTTATTGCCTCATTTAAAATGGCAATAATGTTTTTTACTTACTGTTGAACAATCAGTAAAGATATGTTTCAGATTAATCATAATGCCTTTCCAGTGACAGTGAAAATGTCAGTGCATATTTTATTTTCTAAACTTTTAAGTATTCTTTGTGATAAATTTTCTAAAATTTGTCAGTGGGTGTAGATAAAAAAAAATTTTTTTCCCTACTGACCATCTCTCATCAAGACAGGTGACCCAATGATGAAAACACATTCACCATTATTTATTCAATTGTTTTGCTAAAAGTGTGCTGACATCACAGTTTAAATTATCTGCCATCTGCAAAATCCCCACCCCTCCACAGTGCAGGCACTGCCTTTTCCGCCTGCAGAACTCAAGTACAGCTAACTGGTTTCTCTGAATCCCTTCATAAAAGTTACCTTGCTCACTCTCCAACAGCTGATTATTAAAAACTACTTGTCTCCATTCAGTCCTTTCTAACAAACTCACACAAGCTTGCTAGATGCTCAAATCCCTAAAGCTCATAGCCTCTTTTACCCCCTCCCTCTAACATGTCCTGGAACAACCCCTACTACCTTCCACCCCAGATTTATACACCCTCTTCATCCTATCCCTCTCCATACTCTCTACATGCCCAAACCTTTTCAACAGCCCTCCTCAGCCCTCTGAATTATATACTGTTAGTGACCCCTGATTACCTTTTAATTTCTTTGGTCTGGCTTCTTTGCATGATATTAACACTACACATTGCTCACAAACATGATATCTCCACTTCATCTAGCCTCCATGCTACAGCATTCAAAACCCTTGACTCACACCCATATAAAGGTGTTGATACCACTATACTCTGGTTCATTCCCTTTTTTGCCTCCTCTTTTCTGTGGTTCTTGACCTCTGTTAATACATTTAGTCCTTTTCCCTAAATTTAATAATAACCTGTATATCTCTTGCCTCTGTTCACCTCGCAATTACTAAGTACTGTACCTGTATATAGCTGACTTTATTTTTTTTAGGTGGGATCCTGAGTGATAAAAAAAATATACCTTATATAGATCTGTACTTTTGAAATGAGTTGAGGTGGGACAACAGCTTCTAACCTGTAAACTCAACAGGTAAAAAAAAATTGCAAAGTTTGATTATTTCTGCAGACTCTGGTAAAAGTAATGGAACAAGAAAAGGAACACAGAAGAAGAAAGCTCATGAACTCGACAATGGATTAGTTCCCCTGCCAGCCAAACTCTGTTTTCAGTGCAACAAGTAAGACCATTTACACATTTCTTGTACCTCCAATACATTTCTCCACATCGTAGGCTGTATTAATTATGTATAAGCCTTATAATATTATGGGCACTGTTAAAATGCAAATCATTGATAATTTGGTTTCTGTTCTTTCAACAGAAGCTGTCGTATAGGTCCTCTAATACCCTGTGATTACTGCCAGTTGTTCTTCCATCTTGACTGTTTAGATCCCCCACTCACCACTCCACCCATGGGAAAATGGATGTGTCCAAATCACCCAGAACATTTTGTGGTAAGTAGTACTTTTGTACAGTTGTCAGCTGAAAAGTTATTTTTATATTTATTAATTAGAAGTCAGTCAATTAAGTAAAAATGGGACAAAAGTTGAAAGACAAAGTTGCATATAGTAAAGAAAATGCATGTGTGGTTTCTTCGACCAGCGGTGGGCAAACTACGGCCTGTGGGCCGCATGCAGCCCGCCAGAAGTTTTCATGCGGCCCGCCAAGATCAAGTCATATACATACTCACGTTTTTTGGGGACAAAATGTTAGTAAATTTGAAAAAAAAAAAAGTTACCACACAATGCCAAATAATATTAACATTAACAGTGCCAAATGATATGGAACATTAACACGTTACCCGCAAATGGCTGAGTATGGCCCCTGCACTGAAAAGTTTGCCCACCCCTGTCTTAGACAGTTGTACATGTGGTTCCTTAGATTTCATGGGTTTGTAGTTATTTGTGTGGTTCCTCATTGTTTTTCTTCAAGGAGGGTTCCTTAATTCTGGTGTGGCCTGTGGGTTTATAAATACCATGGATGTTTATATAAGGGTTTGCTGGAGGATAAGATACCACTATTCTTAACAGCATAGCCTGAATACCTAAGCTTTCTGAATACCAGCTGCTGCTAGGCAGGCAGTGGTGGCTCTCTCAAATGTTCTGTGAATGCACAGGAGCGTAAAGACTTTCTTAAGATGTCACTGTCAGTTAGATGACTTAAAATATGTGCCGTAAATGAGATGGATGGCAGGAGGTAACCAAAATATTGACAGGTGAAGATCTCTTGATCCATGGAATAGGAGCTATCCTCTCTTTAATCAAACTGGATTATCTTGGTATTTCCTAGGTGCTGTGTAACCATTTCAGATTTAGCACTTCCCCGTGATTATCATAATAATCCTTTGTTATTTGCATTGTTCAGTTACCTGTGTGGCTCATCAGTTATTCATGTGGCTCCTCAGTAACCCAGGTGGCTCCTCAGTTACCCAGGTGGCTCCTTAGTTACCCAGGTGGCTCCTCAGTTACTCATGTGGCTTCTCAGTTACCCATGTAGCTTCTCAGATGCCTGTGTGGCTCCTCAGTTACCCATTTGGTTCCTCATTTACCTGTGTGGCTTCTCAGTTACCTATTTGGTTCCTCAATATCTTGTGTGGGTTTTCATTTATTCCTGTGGTTCCTTACACAATTATATGTCTGTGGTTTGCAAGACAGTTTCAAAGCAATTGACTGGGTCCTCATACAGTTTCAAATACAAAAAAAAAAAAAAAAAAAAATTAAGCTTCAGAAAGAAATTGTAACTCAGTCTTATTAAAATTTCTTGAATGTGCTGGTTGACACCTGAGTTTAGTATGTCGATTGAATAAATAAGGAAAATTACAATCTATAGATTAATATTATTTCTTTTTTTTTTTTGTATGTTAAGGTAGCATTTTGATCCTGGTTTTGGCTATGTAATAGAGTAATAGGGTAGGGGATGTGTAGATCAAGTGTTTACATTGAAACATATATGTGAACAGTATTTAGATAAAGGTAGGGAAGTTTTTATTGCATTTATGGATTTAGAAAAGGCATATGATAGAGTGGATAGGGGAGCAATGTGGCAGATGTTGCAAGTATATGGAATAGGTGGTAAGTTACTAAATGCTGTAAAGAGTTTTTATGAGGATAGTGAGGCTCAGGTTAGGGTGTGTAGAAGAGAGGGAGACTACTTCCCGGTAAAAGTAGGTCTTAGACATGGTTGTGTAATGTCACCATGGTTGTTTAATATATTTATAGATGGGGTTGTAAAAGAAGTAAATGCTAGGGTGTTCGGGAGAGGGATGGGATTAAATTATGGGGAATCAAATACAAAATGGAAATTGATACAGTTACTTTTTGCTGATGATACTGTGCTTATGGGAGATTCTAAAGAAAAATTGCAGAGGTTAGTGGATGAGTTTGGGAGTGTGTGTAAAGGTAGAAAGTTGAAAATGAACATAGAAAAGAGTAAGGTGATGAGGGTGTTAAATGATTTAGATAACGATAAATTGGATATCACATTGGAGAGAAGGAGTATGGAAGAAGTGAATGTTTTCAGATATTTGGGAATTGATATGTCAGAAGATAGGTTTATGAAGGATGAGGTTAACCATATAATTGATGGGGGAAAAAAGGTGAGTGGTGCGTTGAGGTGTATGTGGACACAAAAAACGTTATCAATGGAGGCAAAGAAGGGAATGTATGAAAGTATAGTAGTACCAACACTCTTATATGGGTGTGAGGCTTGGGTTGTGAATGCAGCAGCAAGGAGGCGGTTGGAGGCAGTGGAGATGTCCTGTCTAAGGGCAATGTGTGGTGTAAATATTATGCAGAAAATTAGGAGTGTGGAAATTAGGAGAAGATGTGGAGTTAATAAAAGTATTAGTCAGAGGGCTGCAGAGGGGTTGTTAAGGTGGGTGTGGTCATTTAGAGAGAATGGATCAAAGTTATAATGACATGGAAGAAGAATTTATATTGTAGGAGAAGGAAGGCGGGGTAGGGTTGTCCTCAAAAGGTTGGAAGGATGGGATAAGGGAGGTTTTGTGGGCGAGGGGCTTGGACTTCCAGCAGGCGTGGCATGAGCGTGTACGTCTAGGATGTGTATGGAGACGTATGGTATTTGGGACCGACGATCTGTTGGATGTGAGCAGGGTAATATTTAGTGAAGGGATTAGGGGGGATGGAAACCGGTTATTTTTTTATAGCGGGATTGAGTCAAGGAAATTGGAGAAGTAAATTGCCTGCACTTTAAAAGGAGGGGTTTCGGAATATTAGCAGTTTGGAGGGATATGGTGTGTATCTTTATACGTATATGCTTCTAAACTGTTGTATTCTGAGCACCTCTGCAAAAACAGTGATTATGTGTGAGTGAGGTGAAAGTGTTGAATGATGATGAAAGTATTTTCTTTTTGGGGATTTTCTTTCTTTTTGGGTCACCCTTCCTCGGTGGGAGACAGCCGACTTGTTGGAAAAAAAAAATAACTTTAAGTTCTGTAATTTTTCTCCTGATTAAGTTAATTAAATTTTTATAATCTTTTCTTTTTTACACTCAGGACTCTACACTTTTGACATCTCACAGTCTTAGTGAAAGAGTAAAATTATGGGACAAATTCAGCGTACCAATAGACCAGGATTCTGTTCGAGTGAACTTTCTACAGCGCTGCCACAGGAAAAACCCTCCCTTTCGGTACAAAGTTAAACGTGCCCTAAGGTCAAGAATACGAGTAAGTAATAGGATGTTTAGGTTTCAAATAACTTTTCTTATTATGATGTGTAGTGTATGGCAAATTACTGATCTGTTTATATTGATATCTCTTGTTGCTTCATACAGTAGTGTGCAAATTAATTAGAACAGGAATAATTTTTGTGATTATCTCATAATATGTCTTAGTCTTTGACTTAATTAATATAGTTTGGGTTCTTTTCAGAAGAGTTTACTGACTTCTGGCAACCATCCAGCTATGGTGTTACCCTGCGACTCTCGTCAGTACTACAACAGCTGTTGTTCTGTAAAGCTATTCTTGCAAGTGTGTTCTGTGAGTGAATGTGGTTTTGCCAAATTCTTCCCTTTAATTCATGATTACTGCTGAAATTCCTGATGGAGGTTACACCTAGGAATTTTGCAAGTATCGTAGCTCTTAGGAAAACAGTCTGGTTTGAGCGTCAGACAGATCGCTGAAAATTCGAGCCTAGAAAAGTCAACTGTTCGTCAGATTCTGAAAAGAACTGACAACACAGGTGATTGTGGAGCACTGCGTCGAGGAAGATTTGGAAGAAAATTTAAGACAACACCTCACAGTGACAAGACTATTGTAAGAAATAGTGTGATGGATCCCAGGAAAACCAGTCAAGATCTACAGAGAGAGATTTGGCTCCTTGAAGTTGACAGAACTGCCAGAAGGCCGGTAAAGAAGCAATTACCAACTGCTGCTGTGAAGAAAAATTGGGTTTGGTGGGCACACTATCGTAAGAGATAGACGACAGATGAATGGAGAAAAGTTACATTTTCAGATGAGGCATATTTTGTAGTACGTGGTTACAGATCAGTGATAGCGAGATGGAGCAAAGGTAAACCTCTTCGGAATGGACATATTCAACAAATGCCAAAACACTTACCTAAGAAAATGTTTTGGGGTAATTTTACTCTTACAGGCCCTGGACAGCTTGTTATATTGGTGAGGGAATAATGAACAGTGACAAATACAAGGCAGTTCCAGCAACTTATTTGTTTCCCATTTTGGTCAGAGATTTTCCTGGCGGAGAAGGCATTTTCCAGCAGGATCTTGCTCCATGCCACACTTCCACAAAAATGATGACATTCTTCGAAGAGAGTGGGCTAAGCATTCTAAATTGACCTGGAAACTCTCCTGACTTCATTTCAATTGAGAACCTATGAGCAATAACCAAATGCAAGATCACAAAACAGGACTGTTCATCTGTGGAGAAGCTGATTGCTGTTAAAAAAACCACAGTACGAGTGGGACTTGAACTCATGGCAAGTGCATTCGTGTTGTTATGATTTTGTTAGTAATTGCTGCTGTTATTAGGACCTGATACCACAATGATGAACTCGCTACAATGTGTTCAACATTGGTCAATTCTATGCCAAAGTGTGCAGCAGTGCTTATAAAAGCAAAGGGTAGTCATATCTCTTAGTAAATCAGTTATATCTGTCTTATCTTTTCTTCTTTCAATAAACCGGCCATATCCCACAGAGGCAGGGTGGCCCAAAAAGAAAAACAAAAGTTTCTCTTTTTAAATTTAGTAATTTATACAGGAGAAGGGGTTACTAGCCCCTTGCTCCCGGCATTTTAATTGCCTCCTACAACACGCATAGCTTACGGAGGAAGAATTCTGTTCCACTTCCCCATGGAGATAAGAGGAAATAAACAAGAACAAGAACTAGTAAGAAAATAAAAGAAAACCCAAAGGGGTGTGTATATACAGTGGACCCCCGGTTAACGATATTTTTTCATTCCAGAAGTATGTTCAGGTGCCAGTACTGACCGAATTTGTTCCCATAAGGAATATTGTGAAGTAGATTAGTCCATTTCAAACCCCCAAACATACACGTACAAACGCACTTACATAAATACACTTACGTAATTGGTCGCATTGGGAGGTGATCGTTAAGCGGGGTCCACTGTATATGCTTGTACATGTATGTGTAGTGTGACCTAAGTGTAAGGAGAAGTAGCAAGACGTACCTGAAACCTTGCATGTTCATGAGACAGAAAAATGGACACCAGCAATCCTACCATCAATAAAACAATTACAGGCTTTCATTTTACACTCACTTGGCAGGACGGTAGTACCTCCCTGGGTGGTTGCCGTCTACCAACCTACTACCTATAATCTGTCTTATCATTGCCATGTATTTTTCAAAAAACATTAATTTTTCAATTAAATGTCTTACTTCATCACTGTCCCAATTAATATGCACACTACTGTAATAAGGGGAATTAAGCACAACTGGCTTTTTAGTAAAGGTTTGTATATAATTTTGCAAAAAGCTTTTTTTTTATATTTCATTAAGTTCATTCATTTAGCTTTTGGTATTGCTCAATTTCAATGTCTGCTTCCTGACAACAGTTGTGTCCTTCATTCTAGAAGCCTTGTTTCTTCAGTGAACTTTGTCCTTATTGCCTGAGGTAATTATGCTATGCAGAATCCTTCCAGTATACAGTGGAACTTCGACTTATGAGTTTAATCCTTTCCGTGACCTGGCTCGTAACTCAATTTGCTCGTATATCAAATCAATTTTCCTCATTTAAATTAATTGAAATGCCATTAATCCGTTCCAGCGGAATTCCTGCTCTTGGGAGGTAAGACAAAATACTTCAATATAACGCTAATATCAATTCTAAAGCTTATTTATCTATCACAATTGATATAATATGACATAATAAACAATATAAATAACATAGAAACATGACACATACTCTAGAATGAATAAAATATGCCATTATGTGACTAGTGGTGGCGGCTGTTCCTGCTTCCGCTCTGACCATATCTTCCTTTGCTTCCCCATCTGAGGTCTTATTATAAGAGAAAAGAGTGTGTTTGTGAGGCTAACTGCACTAGATCACTAGTTCAATAAGGAAAACACTGAAACAATGTACAGTGGACCCCCGGTTAACGATTTTAATCCGTGCAAGAGGGGTAATTGTTATGCGAAATAATCGTTATGTGAATGAATTTTCCCCATAAGAAATAATGGAAATAAAATTAATCCGTGCAAGACACCCAAAAGTATGAAAAAAAAAATTTTACTACATGAAATATACATTTTCCCACACACAAAGAGAAGGATACATGCACAATAGTAGAGTAGTACATGCACAGTATATATTGTGCATGTACTAGTCTACTAAATGAAGAATAAATGACACTTACCTTTATTGAAGATGCAGCAATGACTGATGAGACACTGTGTCCTGGGAGTGCCTTTTCCTCCTGAGTACTGTAGGTCCTGTTTGGCATTTTCTTCCAGAACAGGCCTTATCACACTGTGTATGCCACTACGATTCTTAAATCTCTCAAACCAACCTTTGCTGGCTTTAAATTCACCAATATGAGCACTAGTTCCAGGCATTTTTTCCCTGTTCACCTGGGTGTTAGTCGACTTGTGTGGGTTGCATCCTGGGAGACAAGATTAAAGGGACCCCAATGGAAATAAGTTAGACAGTCTTCGATGACACTGACTTTTTTGGGTTATCCTGGGTGGCAAATCCTCTGGGGTTAATTGTTTCTTGGTATTCTCATAAGCCACACCAACAACGGTGCTACAGCAGCAGCAGCAGCAGCAGCTGACAGTGCAGCAGCAGCAGCAGCTGACAGTGCAGCAGCAGCAGCAGCTGTACCACCAATAGTAGCGATGGTTGATTGGGGTTTATTATACAACCTGGCCAGCTCGGAGACATGCACTCCACTTTCATACTTATCAATGATCTTTTTCTTCATCTCTATTGTAATTCTCACCCTTATTGCTGTAGGGTTGGCACTAGAAGCTTTCTTGGGGCCATGGTCACTTATTTTCCAGAAAAAGCACCGAAAACACTGAAATTTAATACGAAATATTCCGATTGTATGCTTGGATGTTACCGCGGAGGCTGGCTGGTAAACAATGCCACCGGCGGAACATGTGAGCGTGGCTCAGGCCGCACATTGGACGCGTCTCGGACGAAAATCGGTAAGCGGGTTTTTAAGCGGTATGTGAGGCAAAATTTTTGCGATTAAAGTAAGCGGTATGCGAAATAATCGCTATGTGATGCCATCGTTATGCGGGGGTCCACTTTTATTTATAAATAAGACATATTGTAATATAAAAACACACTAGAGAATGTAAAAAAAATAAACTGGTTTTATAAAGTTTTACGTACATATTTACCTAGGAGAAGAGATGCTGGCAGAGCAGCTTATGCTGTCAGTGGCCCTGTAAACCCCAACAACAACAGCATTGGAGGAGTTCGTTTCGTTTCGCCTTTTTCTATTGCTTAATCGCTTAACTTACTTGATACACTCCTAATGCTGCACTTTATCGCATAATTTAACTGCTAAAGTTTGTTTTTTATTTTTTTTCACTTCACTTTTCACTGATTTACTTGCTACACACTTAATGCTACAACCCACAACCCGCACACCTCGCTTGTGTTTATCTGTGATTTCATGCTTTAATTCCATGGACATCATCCTCCTTTTTCTTCTCAGCACTGTCCTTTGCACTTACTTTCTTAGGACCCATGGTTAAAAAAAAGAAATTTTGCAAAATAACTGCACAAAATGCAAGCAAAACACAAGAGAAATGCTGCCTTGGCAAGGTAAACACGTGCACTGCTCAGCCGATGGTGTGGCATTACTGCGCCAACTAGTGGCGGCATTCTGAAGCTCGCTCATTATTATTATTATAATGAGGAAGCACTAAATCCGTAGGGTTATACAGCGCCTGTGGGGGGGAGGTATTCAGGATTAATTTAGGGAACTGGAGGACAGATCCAATTCCCTAGATCAAGAGCCCCTCCCCCTTCTTTGACTGGGAAGCTTGCTCATAACTTGGATTTTGGCTCATAACTCAGAGCAAAAAATCGATCGAGCGATGGCTCGTATCTCGAAAAACTTGTATGTTGGGGCACTCATAAGTACAGTATTGATTTTGTGTCCTTAACAGTAAAACTAATATAAATACCATGATAATGGTAGATATTTATTCAGGCACTAGAATTTCATTCAGTCATATCTTGTTATTTAGTCACGTTGCAACAGAAGAGAGACATGGAGCAGCATCTTTTGGTATTGGTTGAGAATCTGATTAAAAATGGATGCTGTCACAATTGCTATATACAGGTGAAAATGAAAATGGCATATTTGATAGAGAAACTGCAGAGGTTAGTAGACGTTTTTTTTAAGGATGTAGACCCCTCAAGGAAGGTTCCTTGATGTTGGTGAGGGGCTCTTGATTTAGGGAATTGGATCTGTGCTCCAGTTCCCCGAATTAAGCCTGAATGCCTTCCACATCCCCCCTAGGCGCTGTATTAATCCTCCGGGTTTAGCGCTTCTCCCCCATGATTATAATAATAATAATAATAAGGATGTAGAAAAGAAGGAAGTTATAAGTGAATGTAGAAAAAATAAGGTAATAAGTATATAGTATATAATAAGTATATAGTGAGGCTCAAGTTAGAGTATGTAGGAAAGAGGGAAAAATTTTTTCCCAGTAAAAGTAGGCCTTAGACAAGGATGTGTGATGTCACCGTGGTTGTTAATATATTTATAGATGGGGTTGTAAGAGAAGTAAATGCGAGGGTCTTGGCAAGAGGTGTGGAGTTAAAAGATAAAGAATCACACATAAAGTGGGAGTTGTCACCCGTTGCTCTTTTTCTGATGACACTGTGCTCTTTTGGAGATTCTGAAGAGAAGTTGCAGAGATTGGTGGATGAATTTGGTAGGGTATGCAAAAGAAGAAATTAAAAGTGAATACAGGAAAGAGTAAGGTTATGAGGATAACAAAAAGATTAGGTGATGAAAGATTGGATATCAGATTGGAGGGAGAGGGGATGGAGGAGGTGAATGTATTCAGATATTTGGGAGTGGACGTGTCAGCGGATGGGTCTATGAAAGATGAGGTGAATCATAGAATGATGAGGGGAAAAGGGTGAGTGGTGCACTTAGGAGTCTGTTGAGACAAAGAACTTTGTCCTTGGAGGCAAAGAGGGAAATGTATGAGAGTATAGTTTTACCAACGCTCTTATATGGTGTGAAGCATGGTGATGAATGTTTCAGCGAGGAGAAGGCTGGAGGTAGTGGAGATGTCATGTCTGAGGGCAATGTGTGGTGTGAATATAATGCAGAGAATTCGTAGTTTGGAAGTTAGGAGGAGGTGCAGGATTACCAAAACTGTTGTCCAGAGGGCTGAGGAAGGGTTGAGGTGATTCGGACATGTAGAGAGAATGGAGTGAAACAGAATGACTTCAAGAGTGTATCAATCTGTAGTGGAAGGAAGGCGGGGTAGGGGTTGGCCTAGGAAAGGTTGGAGGGAGGGGGTAAAGGAGGTTTTGTGTGCGAGGGGCTTGGACTTCCAGCAGGCATGCGTGAGCGTGTTTGATAGGAGTGAATGGAGACAAATGGTTTTTAATACTTGACGTGCTGTTGGAGTGTGAGCAAAGTAACATTTATGAAGGGGTTCAGGGAAACCGGCAGGTCGGACTTGAGTCCTGGAGATGGGAAGTACAGTGCCTGCACTCTGAAGGAGGGGTGTTAATGTTGCAGTTTAAAAACTGTAGTGTAAAGCACCCTTCTGGCAAGACAGTGATGGAGTGAATGATGGTGAAAGTTTTTCTTTTTTGGGCCACCCTGCCTTGGTGGGAATCGGCCAGTGTGATAATAATAAAAAAAATAAGTATATATTATAAGAAAAGCAGAGTATATGGAGAGTAAAAGAAAGGTGAAGAGAGTGGTGAGAGAGTGCAAAAGGAGAGCAGATGATAGAGTGGGAGAGGCACTGTCAAGAAATTTTAATGAAAATAAGAAAAAACTTTGGAGTGAGTTAAACAAGTTAAGAAAGCCTAGGGAAAGTATGGATTTGTCAGTTAAAAACAGAGTAGGGGAGTTAGTAGATGGGGAGAGGGAGGTATTAGGTAGATGGCGAGAATATTTTGAGGAACTTTTAAATGTTGAGGAAGAAAGCGAGGCGGTAATTTCATGCACTGGTCAGGGAGGTATACCATCTTTTAGGAGTGAAGAAGAGCAGAATGTAAGTGTGGGGGAGGTACGCGAGGCATTACGTAGAATGAAAGGGGGTAAAGCAGCTGGAACTGATGGGATCATGACAGAAATGTTAAAAGCAGGGGGGGATATAGTGTTGGAGTGGTTGGTACTTTTGTTTAATAAATGTATGAAAGAGGGGAAGGTACCTAGGGATTGGCGGAGAGCATGTGTAGTCCCTTTATATAAAGGGAAAGGGGACAAAAGAGATTGTAAAAATTATAGAGGAATAAGTTTATTGAGTATACCAGGAAAAGTGTACTGTAGGGTTATAATTGAAAGAATTAGAGGTAAGACAGAAAGTAGGATTGCGGATGAGCAAGGAGGTTTCAGAGTGGGTACGGGATGTGTAGATCAAGTGTTTACATTGAAGCATATATGTGAACAGTATTTAGATAAAGGTAGGGAAGTTTTATTGCATTTATGGATTTAGAAAAGGCATATGATAGAGTGGATAGGGGAGCAATGTGGCAGATGTTGCAAGTATATGGAATAGGTGGTAAGTTACTAAATGCTGTAAAGAGTTTTTATGAGGATAGTGAGGCTCAGGTTAGGGTGCGTAGAAGAGAGGGAGACTACTTCCTGGTAAAGGTAGGTCTTAGACAAGGATGTGTAATGTCACCATGGTTGTTTAATATATTTATAGATGGGGTTGTAAAAGAAGTAAATGCTAGGGTGTTCGGGAGAGGGGTGGGATTAAATTATGGGGAATCAAATTCAAAATGGGAATTAACACAGTTACTTTTTGCTGATGATACTGTGCTTATGGGAGATTCTAAAGAAAAATTGCAAAGGTTAGTGGATGAGTTTGGGAATGTGTGTAAAGGTAGAAAGTTGAAAGTGAACATAGAAAAGAGTAAGGTGATGAGGGTATCAAATGATTTAGATAAAGAAAAATTGGATATCAAATTGGGGAGGAGGAGTATGGAAGAAGTAAATGTTTTCAGATACTTGGGAGTTGACGTGTCGACTGATGGATTTATGAAGGATGAGGTTAATCATAGAATTGATGAGGGAAAAAAGGTGAGTGGTGCATTGAGGTATATGTCGAGTCAAAAAACGTTATCTATGGAGGCAAAGAAGGGAATGTATGAAAGTATAGTAGTACCAACACTCTTATATGGGTGTGAAGCTTGGGTGGTAAATGCAGCAGCGAGGAGACAGTTGGAGGCAGTGGAGATGTCCTATCTAAGGGCAGTGTGGTGTAAATATTATTCAGAAAATTCGGAGTGTGAAAATTAGGAAAAGGTGTGGAGTTAATAAAAGTATTAGTCAGAGGGCAGAAGAGGGGTTGTTGAGATGGTTTGGTCATTTAGAGAGAATGGATCAAAGTAGAATGACAGGGGATCCATATAAATCTATAGGGGAAGGAAGGTGAGGTAGGGGTCGTCCTCGAAAGGGTTGGAGAGGGGGGGTAAAGGAGGTTTTGTGGGCAAGGGGCTTGGACTTCCAGCAAGCGTGCATGAGCGTGTTAGATAGGAGTGAATGGAGACGAATCATACTTGGGACCTGACGATCTCCTGGTCTCAGACCGGGCCCCGGGGGCGTTGACCCCCGGAACTCTCTCCAGGTAATCTGTTGGAGTGTGAGCAGGGTAATATTTAGTGAAAGGATTCAGGGAAACCGGTTATTTTCATATAGTCGGACTTGAGTCCTGGAAATGGGAAGTACAATGCCTGCACTTTAAAGGAGGAGTTTGGGATATTGGCAGTTTGGAGGGATGTGTTGTGTATCTTTATACGTATATGCTTCTAAACTGTTGTATTCTGAGCACCTCTGCAAAAAAACAGTGATTATGTGTGAGTGTGGTGAAAGTGTTGAATGATGATGAAAGCATTTTCTTTTTGGGGATTTTCTTTCTTTTTTGGGTCACCCTGCCTCGGTGGGAGACGGCCGACTTGTTGGAAAAAAAAAAATTACTAAATTTAAAAGGAGAAACTTTCGTTTTTCCTTTTGGGCCACCCCACCTCGGTGGGATACAGCTGGTACGTTGAAAGAAAGAAAGAAGTATTGGTGAAAATGCAGGATACTACAGAATGAAGTCAAAATGTAAGGAAGAAGTGTAAGGAAAGTGAATGTGTTAATATATTTTGGAATGGATACATTGGTGGATGGCTCTGTTTGATGAGGTAAATCAGAAAAGAAGTTAGCAAGAAATTTGCAAGAATTTTGAAGAGTCTGGAGAGAAAGAAGTTTTTGATTGAATGCAAAAAAAGTGATGGTTTTAAGAATAATGGTCCAGATTTGTGTGTATGGATATGAGGCATGATCTTTGAATGTTACAGCAAGGGGGAGGGTGAAGACAGTGGAAATGTCTTGTCTGGGATCTTCATGTGGTGTGAGTTTTATGCAGAGAATAAAAAATGAAGAAATTTGTGGATGGCATGGCTGTAGAAAGGTATACTTCAAAGAGCAGAACAATGGTTATTGAAATAGTTTATTTATGTTGATAAACTAGACTAGAATCTAGAGTTAAGAGGGTGTAGAAATCTGAGGTTAATGGGAAGAGATGTAGGGATACCTGAGAAAGAATTGGAGGGAGGGCATGGAAGAGGTAAAATGCATTCATTGTAAAAGTTGGATATGAGGGTTACAGTTTGGAGGGTCAGTGCAGGACCTCAACATTTATGCATATTACACACCCTCCTTTCAGTCTTACCTCAAATGTCTTTACACCTTCTGTCCACTTCTGCTTCATAAACCCTGTTGATTAATCTTTCTATAATTGTACATATCCAAATAAAGCAAAACATATCTTTGCTGATAGTTGTTTAAAATATGTGATAGGCTTGCAAGGGTCTGTCCTCATAATTAACACCTGTTTAAGGGCTAAAATGGAAATCTATAAAAATGAGGTAATCTTAACTAAAGTTTTATTTCTAGGTGCCACTAGCAGTGAAAGAGCAATACTCAGAACCACCAGATTTGCTTCTCCACCATGGTCCACCCCAACATCTTCTTCCTTCTGTTACTGAGCATGAGACAGAGGCTTCCACTGCTACTACTGTACCTACCACCACTGCCAATAGAATAGCTACCACTTCAGTAACATCATGTGGTACGACTGTATCACCTTGGTTATATCAACAAAACTGGCGAGGAGTTGAAGTGAAGGAAGAGCCCGTTGAAAATTCAGAAATACTTCAGGATAGGCAGGAGGGATCACAAAAAGATGCTAGAGTTGAAGACAAGAGAAATGAAACAGAAAGAAAAAAGCCAACAAAAGAGGAAATGGATGAGGTGAATTATATACAACTTTTGCTCTGTGTTAATGTTTTCCAGATGCATATGTATTACTGTGTTAGTCTTTGTTGTTTACCTCTTGTTTTATCTTTCAGTGGTTGGCAGGACTGTTATGTTTACAAGCTAGCATTATTAAACATATGGCAAATAATACTGCAAGTGGCCTAAATAAAACACCAGAAAAACAGAGAGCAATGAATGGGCCTACTTGTATAGGCAGCACTCTGGATGCCTCTCCACCTTTAGAACGACCAGGATGTATGAATGGAGACTTAACTTCTCATGACATCAGCAGTAAACATAGTAGATTTGCAGACCCACGAAGACACCAACCAATTATGAACAGTAATTTTCAGCCTCCGCCAACATATCTACCAGCTAAAAAGGGCATATTAAAAAACCAAAAAGGAAAGTAAGTATTGCTTGTTTGTCATTTACAGTACTATTTTGGTAGGATAGTTTTTGGTATTTTTTTACAGTATATTTAGAATATTTTGAATATATAATGCTTATTGATTTCTTGTTTTGGAGAAGGCAATGAGTTTGGTGGAATTGCTTGAGTAAATATGAACTGAGGACAAAGAAAATAAAGAAGCTTATAATATGCACTAATAAGATCAGGATATTAGCAGTTTGGAGGGATATGTTGTGTATCTTTATACGTATATGCTTCTAAACTGTTGTGTTCTGAGCACCTCTGCAAAAACAGTGATTATGTGTGAGTGAGGTGAAAGTGTTGAATGATGATGAAAGTATTTTCTTTTTGGGGGTTTTCTTTCTTTTTGGGTCACCCTGCCTCGGTGAGAGACGGCCGACTTGTTGAAAAAAAAAAGATCAAAAATGTTATTTATTCGTTGTTGTTATAACTTTCTTTGACTTTATCATATAAATTATTTTCCTTTAGTGATTTCTGGTATTTAAATTTTTTGTACAATAAATAAATATCTCAGTAGTACCAGTTACCAGTAACCACTTACCAGTAGATGACTCACTACCAACCATCTGTGTGAATCACTGACTGTTATTCATGTTGCTGCTGACCATAGCATATTTTTTAATGCCTCACCCGCTAGGCACTGGTGGGTCAGTCTGAGATAGGGAGCAGAGAGAGGCAGGTCGGCTGTTGGTGCTTCCCATACTTACCGTTGTATATTATACGTACAAACCAGCCTACGTGAGTATTTTTACCCCATCCACGTGTAGACAGCCTGTACTGTCTGCACAGACAGCCCATGCTGTCTGCCAGCTTAGTTCATATTTCGCGCCACTCAGGTGCTGCCCTCTGTAGCCAGGCCTCTAGGTAGGCACGCCAGCCTGCCGGCCCATGCCTCTCCCTCACTCCTAGGCCGACCGACTTGACAGACACAAGTGCTCCCCCTCCACGGACTGGCTTGCGGTCACTCCCTCACACTGCCCGTTGTGTACTCACTCCTGCCCAATTAAAGCCAAACTAGTCCACGGCCGTATCATTGCTACCTACACTACCTCCATCGGCACTAAACCGTTGTTTCAGCAGAAGAACAGAAATAACAGTAGGTAGGCACGCCAGCCTGCCGGCCCATGCCTCTCCCTCACTCCTAGGCCGACCGACTTGACAGACACAAGTGCTCTCCCTCCACGGACTGGCTTGCAGTCACTCCCTCACACTGCCTGTTTGT